TATTGTCCACTTTGGCTCGTTACATATCGTCGTCAGTCTCACAGTTTTTAAAACGTATCTGTTAGGGTGAGATTTTCATACACTTAAAAGAAATATTTTATTCTTTTCTCGAGATCTCACAAAAATTGTATTTATTTTTACCACAAAAAAAAATGCATATTCAATATAATCTAAAAGACAAAAGTAGAGCTTGGTTTATATAATCTTGATAAGATAAACAAAGATTATGATCATAATTAATTATTTTGTTTGTGGTAATGCACTAGGGTTCATAAGTGGGTACCCATTGGTAACGTTATGACCACAAGAATTTTTGGCAAGCTTTTGTTGGGCCATGCAATATTTTGGACACATTCTTCTTTATATTTTTATTTTTGTGACACTAATAATTGCATGGAATGAAAGTCTTTAGTGGACAAAGGGTTTTAGGCTCCCAAGATTTAAAACCATTTAGGAGACAAATAAAGGGAATTGTCCTCCAACAACCACCTATAGTTACGGTCTCGATTAAGTAAGTAACTCTACGGTTGACCTGGTTTTATACCATCTTAAGGCCTAAAAAATAAGAGTAACACGTGGCTTGAGTATTTTAAAAAATACTTAGTAAGTGACTCCACTATTGGGGTTGAGAAATGCAATCACATGCAAAACGGTGAAACCTATTCTTTTATGAAAACATCATGGTATGGCTTTGGACTCCACTTTTCCTACACATGACCCCACACACGTGTACATGTTCCCACTAAGAGGGCTCATATATGTACCTCCTAGGTGTGATTCGTTGGGCTAGTGCAAACTCACGCTACCAAACACCACGAAAGAAAAGGGTCTGCATAATATCATGACAAACATAAATATTGTAAGGTACACGTCCATACTAATCATAACGGAGAAGTATCTCGATGCATATCATACACAAAAATTCATGAGGTTCTCATGACTTAAAATCATGGCATAAGTTAATGATACAAATCAAACCTCCATTCATTTATAACATAAGGAGCCTATGAAACATGTCGACATAATTCTTGTCGAATCTTTCATACTTAACCTAGCTTACGTTGCAGGGTGTATGGAGATTTATGCATCATAGATTATCAATATCATAAATATGGTTCTACAACATGACATAATCACTTTATAGCATAACGTATAACATGGCATAGCATAACAATGATAATCATAACACGTCTAGGGGCCACAAGGCACGCGTCATCATACGTCATACAATTCGTCCAACCAAGCCAATAATAGGGTCATTTACTTGATTAATCTAAATTAGGGTCACTAATTTATTCTTAGTGCTAGCTTGGATCTGCCCCTAGATGTCTAACTCAACCTCCATGGGTCCACGACATTAGGTTAGAAAATGTTATCAAACTTAACTCACCAAAAGATATCGAATAATCCAATTTTCAGCTAAAAAATAATTTAAATTGAGAAAACACAGGTCATATTAACTTCAAATGCTTCCAATAATGTCAAAACGACTTCTGAAGTATAAAATATGGTAGGAAATGATCTAAAAACATCGAACGGTGCTCAAAGCAAATAATTCGAGCCAAATGAGCTATCAGACCTAAGTCGAGCCGCCGGAGCTGAGCTTATCCGTCGCTAGTGAAAGGCGTGAGTCGAGATGGCAAGTCGGGTCAAGTAACAGGGTTAGGGCACATGCGAGTCAAGTTTCAAGTCGAGTGAGCTGATTGGAGAAGGAAGAACACGAAATTGGGAGGAGCTCGTGGATGGTTGTTTGGAGTTACGAAAACTCCGATGCCTCGCTAGAGTTCTCGCAATTTTGGTGGTAGATTTTTTTTTATTATTTTTTTAACATAACTGATGTTACACATGTGATGCCAAATTCCACTATATCCTTTATTATAATATATGACCCATTCAAGCTGTCAGTCAAATCAGCAGTAAATAAAAAATAAAAATAAAATAAAAATAAAAATCTTGTCTTAATTTTAATTTAAATTGGATATTAATGGTGTGTCTGTGTCTGTGTGGTCCAATAAATTCTTAATAAAGCAAAACCAAATCCCCATTAAATTAAATTTATCTCCCCTTTTAGTTCATTAAATTAATTTAATTTTTTTAAAACAAAATATTTAATTTATTTCAATTAAAATACCATAAAATCTTTTTTTTTTTTTTTTTTTTACTATCCTAGGTCCTAAAACGTGATTGCGACGTTTCTAAGCTTTTTCTCGTTTAAAATTAAATTAATTTTCGTAGTTCGAGTGGTAAATACAGAGTTGTTGATCAGTTTAGAGAGCATTTTTTCTTTGAAAATTTCTTGTTCCAGATTTGGCTTTGAAGGGACATGTGAAAGAACGAAACATATACGACACGAAGATTCAGTTGTGTTGATGCCAATGTAGTAGATTTCTATGATATTGAGTCTACTATATCTATTTTTTTCTAATAAGTCGACAACGTTATACCATTACGTGATACTTCAAATAAACTAGAGTATTGTGACGCTCGAGTAAATAAGGGATATAGAATGAATCGAACTGTATCCAAATGAGAGTAATCTTGATAATATAAAATTATTACTAAGAAAAGTCTACCGTCTATATTCAACCTATTTAACCATAAAAAAATACAGTTGTAGAAAATAATTTTTAAAAATACAATTTTTAGTTCGAGTTTTGAGTATGATTTCCATTTGGTTCTCTTCAGATATAATATTCGGAGAATATATTATTTATGGAATATATCTTAGATATTATATCTTAATATTTTTTTTTATTTGATTTATAGTATATTTTATTTTATTCTCGATATTTAATTAGTTTATATTTTCCTTATTTATAGGTATTAATTTCTAGCTTGTAATATCAACGAGAACATACTCTCGATCTTCGATTCCAGTTCTATTTCTATTTCTATTTTTACTTCTCATTCTTAATAGGTCCTTAAATTTTTATTATATTATACTTTTACCTCTAAATTTTAAGTTTAAATTTCATTCGGTCCTTAGATTTCAAAATATTACATTTTTTACCCTTGATTTGAACTTAGTTTCTACTCAATCCACGGGTTCATGATTTTACACTTTTACCCTTGAATTTTCGTTAATGCTCATTTCTAATTTTTCTGATAATTAATTTAAAATAACTAAATTAATTTTCATTTTTTAAAAAATTACTACTAAAATTAATTCAAAAATCCACCTCATAAATATTTTAAAGTAATTCATTCAAAAATTAACACCAAGGACAAAAACGAGCTTGAAATACTAAAGGATAAAAGTATATTAGCGTTTTCTACTGCAGTTTGAGTGATAAATACTGTCCCTCTTCTCGAACCTTTGAGTCCACAAGTACTAGCGGAAGACCTGCCTCTAACATTCATCCTAAGCCAGGATCATCCCAGTAGCGACCAGTCTTAAAGAAAGTAATCCTAGGGCCCGCTATGCCAAAAACGAGAAACATCGTTACTCTCCTTTAAAATTGGCCGTTCAACAAGGCTAAAAGACATATTTATTATAGAAACTAACTAAATTGTATATTATAATTTAAAAAATAATTAAAAAAAAGTATTGAATTAAATAATGAAAATATTCCATTTGATCCAAATTGTGGGTGAGCTAATTCCGTTTGTCCTTTTCGCATAATATTAATTTATTCCTTATGCTTTTAGATATATACTTTTATTGAATCCCACAAAAACATTGCTCCAACCTGTTTAAGATAAGCACAATGCTCTCTCTTCTAATCAACATAATGTCTCCTTCCACACTCTCACATATGTCCATCTCATTTTAACCTATGCTTCATTTCTACGCTAAATTAATAATAATAGTCCGTTACGTATTGTCGTCAGCCTCACAGTTTTAAAAAGATTTCTATACCCAGATAAGATAAGAAATGTTTCGTTCCCCTCTCCAACCGATATGAGATCTCACAACCCATCTCCCTTAGAGACCCAGCGTCCTCGCTAGCACACTGCCTAGTGTCTGGCTCCGATACCATTTGTAACAGTCCAAGCCCACCGCTAGCAGATATTATCTATTATAGCCCGTTATATATCACTGTCAGCCTTACAGTTTTAAAACGCGTCTACTTGGAAGAAGTTTGCACACCATATAAGAATGTTTTGTTCCACTCTTCAATTGATGTGGTATCTCACAAATACCATTACCGTTACTTTTAGATGAAAACGTTTAGACTTTGTTTAACAAATATAAAAAAATATCAACCTTTCGAAAGTATTCTTGAAATACCTTTAATCTAAGTTTTTTCTTAAAAAGTAAGGAGAATTAATGCTACTAACGTAGAAACTAAGATTATACACTCCTTGCAACTCTAGCCAACCTATCTCAAAATATACTATAGAAGAAATCATGGTGTCACCTCTCTACCACCCTCGAACCCTACAATTTAAGACTACAACCTCATGACACATAAGCTACACGTGTCCATCTCAAAATGTACTATGGAAGGAGGAGGATGTCATCTCTCTACCACCCTCGAAGCTACAACCCTACCACACATAAGCTACGCGTGTCCGTCTCAAAATGTACTATAAGAGGAGGCATGATGTCATTTCTCCACCACTCTTGAACCTTACAACCTAAAGCTACAACCCCACGACACATAAGCTACGCGTGTCCGTCTCAAAATGTACTATAAGAGGAGGCATGATGTCATCTCTTCACCACCCTTGAACCCTACCACTTAAGACTACAACCCCATGACACATAAGCTACACGTGTCCGTCTCAAAATGTACTATAGAAGGAGGCATGATGTCATCTCTCTACCACCCTCGAACCCTACAGCCTAAAGCTACAACCCCACGACACATAAGCTACGCGTGTTCATCTCAAAATGTACTATAAGAGGAGGCATGATGTCATCTCTCCACCACCCTCGAACCCTACCACCTACGACTACAACCCCATGACACATCCGCTCGGATATATATATATTTTAAGCATAAGATAGAAAGAGATATGGAAGGCCACACTATTATTATATTGACAAGGAGAGAGAGAGAGAGAGAGAGAGATTGTGGCTATACACCTTTCCACCAAGGCTTATATAAATGCCACTACTTCATACCCAAATTCCCCCATACCAAAACAAAAGAATCATTAGCAACAAGAAAGAGAAAAAAAAGAATGGTATTGCAAGAGGAAAGTATGAGAAAAGGGCCATGGACCGAACAAGAGGACTTCCAACTCGTCTGCTTTGTGGGTTTATTCGGTGACCGGCGATGGGATTTCATCGCCAAAGTATCAGGTTTGAAGGTGGCGGGAGATAACAAGTACTCCTAGGTAGGCCTTATTAGGACACACCATGTTAAAAACATCACCTTTTTCCTCTCTTTCTCATCTCTTTACCTCTTTCTAGGCTTGAAAAGAACCGGCAAAAGCTGTCGTCTCCGGTGGGTTAACTACCTCCACCCTGGTCTTAAGCGTGGCAAGATTACTCCCCACGAGGAGCGTCTCATTCTCGACCTCCACTCCAAGTGGGGAAACAGGTCAATTCTTCTTCCCTCCCTACTCGACTCGTTCATCCAATCTCGGGTTTTCATCATCTCTTTCAATTTTCAGATGGTCGAGGATTGCTAGGAAGCTTCCTGGTCGAACAGATAATGAAATAAAGAATTTTTGGCGAACCCACATGAGGAAAGTGGCCAAAGCCGCCGGTCATGATCATGTAGTGGTATCGCCGTCGTCCTCGGCTCAAATCATAGAGATCGGAGAAGAACTAATAGATCGTCGGGAGGAGGAGGACGGTTATTCGATGGATGATATTTGGAGAGACATTGATGATCAAAGTAATGTTATAAACCAAGTTTGTGATCAAAGTAACTTCGAGTGTGGACCGATGTCGATGCCGCCGTGGGATTACGGGGAGTACTCGCCGTGGACGGTGGTTGAGGAAGAGAACAAGGTGTTTGACTATGGAGAGGCTGTGGCTCTAAGTTGAAACTAAAGGATTTGATTCATTTAAATTTGTGAATAGAGTTTTAAGTTATGTTATAAAGCTGTGCTGTGATGGAGGATAAGGGAAAAGCTGTGATTTGTGTAGCAATGGAGCTTCCTTGGCCCACTTTCTAAGCCACTGTTCTAGTTTTGTGTAATATCTTTCCACTTTTTAGCTGAAAGACAACATTTCAGACATCTAATAATAGTTATGTTTGTTGTTTTTTCTAAGAATCATTTATGTTTATGCATACTATGGATGAAGTTCCGAACTCACATATTTGGCCTTGTCTTGGTTCCGGTCTGAATTGGCTGAAGCACACCGTTAATAGATATTGTTCCTCTTCGGTTTTTCGGAGTTACTCTCAAGGTTTTCACATTTTTATAAAGAATTGTAGGATCTCACAATTCACCCTCTTCCGGGCCCAACATCCTCATTGGCATACCACCTCATGTCCATCCCCTTTGGGGCCCGGCATCCTCGCTGGCATATCGCCCTCATCTCCTTGCTAGCACATCACTCAGTGTCTGGCTCTGATACTATTTATAACAGCTCAAGTCCATCATTAGCAAACATTGTCCTCTTTGGGCTTTCCCTTTCCCTCAAAGTTCTTAAAATGCATCTGTTAAGTAGAAGTTTTCACACCCTTATAAAAAATGTTTCGTTCTCCTCCCCAATCGATGTGGGATCTCATAATTCATCCCTCTTCAGGACCCACGCCCTTATAAAGAAGGAGAATGGATTGGGGGGTCCCACATCGATTGGAGAAGGAAACGAGTGTTAACGAGAACGCCGGACCCCGAAAGGGGTAGATTGTGAGATCCCACATCAGTTGAGGAGTTGAGGAGGAGAACAAAGGATTTTTTATAAGGCTATGAAAACCTCTTTGTAGTAGACGCGTTTTAAAAATCTTAAAAAGAAAGCCCAAATAGAAAAATTCAAATAGAACAATATCGGCTAGCGATGAGCTTGGACCGTTACAGGGTCAGTCTTGAACTCTCGTGTATATACAATTCAAGTTTAGCCATGACTATGGCCTTCATTCCCAAGTTGATGGTCGTGGTTTGGCCTTTGACTCTTCAAAGTTAAACACGCCTCGAAACAGAGGATAATCCTAAATTGGACTTCGAATGTTCATGTATCACGGTCATGCTCGTTTTGATAGGTTCGTGTTAGATTAAGCCCTTGAGTTTCGGCTTTCACTTTCTATGTTTGGCTCAACTCAATGTTCGAGTTCATGTCCTTCACTTTGAACCAGGGTTCATGTGACATGGTTGTGTTGAGTCTTGATGGGACTTGCTTGGGTGAATTAAGCTGGGCCTATCTCAAGGGGAACCTCAGATTTGGGCCTATCTCAAGGTGAACTAAACTGTCCATGGGACATGGTGTTGGGCTTATAATTGGGCTCCTCAATTTTCTAGCTCAAATATAAACGACTCTCCTCGTTGGTACGATATTGTCTTACTTTGTGCATAAACTTTCGTAGTTTTACTTTTGATTTCCCTAAATAGTCTCGTGCTAATAAAGACAGTGTCCCTCACTTATATACTAATGATCTTCTCCTTAGTTAATCAACGTGGGATTCTACCAACCCTCAACAAATCAATCTTCCGTACATCTTATTCTCAACAAGAGTGTTCATAGGTTGGATCGAGTTGGGACAATTTTTTAGACCCAATTCAATTGTTCGAGTTATAAATTTTTTTAATTCAACCCAATCCGACCTAACCATAAATCTTTTGGTTGGGTTGGTTCGAGTCGTCCATGTAAAATTTTTTACAAAAATTTAAGATTATTTTTATTAATTTAGCCGGGGAAAAGGTAGGCGGGAGTAGAAATGTATTAAAACAAAATTAAAAAAAAAAAAAAAAAAAAAAAAAAAAAAAAAAAAAAAAAAAAAAAAAAAAAAAAAAAAAAAAAA